ACATTCAAAAAATTTGCTTCAATTAAATTAGTAGATTTTTTAGGATCATAGAATATCTTACTAATCCTAAGATTCAAATGTTTGAAATCCTAATCCAATTAAACTTCCATATTCTTTAATCTAATCTTTTAATTGACTTAAGATTTTAAAAATATATTTAAGGTAAGCATGTTTTTAAATTTATATTAATCTTAATTCATATATTTACTATAATATTAAAAAAATTCTTCATATATATAAATTACTTATTAATGTTAAAACCTAAAATCACTAAAAACATCTTTCATTTTGAAAAGCTTTCAGAAACTCAATATTTATTCAAATATCTTTAAACTAATTTTAAAACAACTCTTCTAAAGTTTTCTCTCTAATCTTACTCTTTGCTCAGCAAAAGAACTCCAAAATCATTGTAGGTGTACAACTTTGTGCCTAAAGGTCTAAATGCAATTCTTATTCACAATTGAACATCTCTAAATATTAATTTTATAGATTTTAAGGTAATTTTTGCTAAAAAATATATTTAATTCTTTTTTTAAGATATTTATATCATTTAATTCTAATCTACTTTTATTTTTTATTTATGGCTATAAAAAGTAAATAAAACCTATTTAAAAATAGTAACATTAACACTTATTAATTTTTCCATCTCCTTGACTGTCATCTATATTTCTAAAGTAATTTGTTACAATATTTCAAATTAAATTCTTCTACAAAATATATATATATATATATATATATATATATTCTTAATAGCCATGTTTTAATAAAAAAATGGTTAAACCTATACTCCATTGAGATTTATTATCAAAAAAATATAGTCAAATAGTTCATTTATTTGTAATTATTATTTTTTTCTTTTTTTAAATTTATTTTTTTATTTATAAATTCTCTTAAATTATATTAATCAATTTTTATTTTGGATGTCATCTATTTGAACTTAAATATCACATGATGTTATATTAGATGTCAATTGGATTTAATCCAAATATAATATGATGTTATATTGGATTTTAATATTGGATGTTAATTTCAATAAGTTCTTCATGATAAATCTTATTATAAATAAATTTCAACTATACATTTTTAGGTCTTTAAAACCTATTTATGAATTTTAAGGGCTTAAAGTCTTTTTATTTATTTTAAAAAATATTGTATCTTGTGTGATCTTTTTATGTGCAAAAAATTAATAACTTGTAGAAGATATCACATCCAATTTATAAATAAATAAATTATAATATCATTTTTTAATAAACAGATAATTATTTGTTTAGAAGGTTATATTTCACTATTTCAACATATTTTTGGAAAAAACATTATTATGATTTTGGACATGGAATAAGCTGTAATTATACAAAAAAAAATACATATTTATATTTTTTATTTCTATGCTTTTAAGATTAAAGATATAATTTTAATTTAAGTGAATTAATTATTGATTGAGGGAATTTTTATAAAGTAGTAACTTAAAGAATAAGGTAAGAAACCACAACTTTTAAACCCTTTAATTGACAAAAATCTGGAGACTTTCAAATTGTAACTAATCAAAAGATTCAAAAGTTCACACTTCTTATCTTCTCTTCTAAATACAAAGATCTTCTTAATTTGATTGATATCTAAAATAATTAATTCAAAGATCTTAAGATAAAAAGATGAGATAAAATACATTTTTTTTCTACATAATATAAATATTCTAAGCCTTTAGAATTTACTATAGGTCTACTTTAAGAAATGGATTTTACAAAAATTTACAAAGATATATCCAAAAATTCTAAAAACATATATTTATATTTTATTTTTAAAAAATATTTTATATAATTATCAAAATCAAAATATAAGCTAATATATTAAGATCTATAATAAAATAATAGCTTCTCTTGAACATACATATATACTTCAATAATTACTTAGATAATATGGATAAATAGAAGTAGATAAAAGTAGATTAATTTAATAATATCTTATATATAAGCTTCTTGAAAGCTTTGTAGATACATTATCAAAGTGAGCATTTTTTTTAGGAAAATATAGGATTTATGGCTGCAATTAAATATGGTCAAATAATGCCTTTCATTCAAATGAACTCTACTACCTTATACTCATGATAGTATGTAGAAGTTGTCTTTTCTACTTCATTCAATTGATTACCATAGCTCTATACTTCATTGGATTTGAACATGTAGCAGTTCTTTAAAGAGCTACTTAGATTATATATATCTACATCAAATCTCACTTCCAAAAATACTCTATAATATATTCTATGAGAAAAAAAAGCCAAAATTTATATTAATATAAGGCAATTCACTCATTCTTATCAAAAAAAGTACTATAATTGTATACTAATTCTTCTCAAAGTGTCTAAGAGCTTTCTAAAAAATTTATAAAGAAAGAAACAAGGCCTCAAAATCTCAATAAAAAATACTAAACATTTTATGAAAAAAACTCCAAAGAAAAATCCTAAAGAAAAACTCTGAAAAGTAGCTAGCTCTCTCTTTATTCAAAAACGCACTACATCTTCATACTAATTCTTCTTGAAATAAATAAGATTAATTTAAAAAGCTAAGAAAGATAGAAATAACTTTTCAAATTTTTAAATCCAAATTCAAAATATACTTAGATAAAACCTCCAAAGAAAAATCCTAAAAAAAAACTCCAAAAAAAAACCCTGAAAAGTGGTAAGCTCAGTCTTTATTAAAAAATGCATTACATGAGCATACTAATTTTTCTTGAAGCAAGTAAGAGAAACTTGGAAAGCTAACAAAGAGAGAAAAAACTCCTCAAAATCTCAAATATAAATTCAAAATACTCTTTTAAAAAACCTCCAAAGAAAAATCTTTAAAGAAAAAACCTAAAGACTAATTGACTCTTTTTACTTTTCAAAAAGGCACCGCTAGTTCATATTAGCTCTACTTGGAGTGAGTGAGAGCTTTTTGGAAATCTTAAAAGAGAGGAAAAATCCCTCAAAATTTCAAATCCAAATTCGAAATATACTTTGAAAAAACCTCGGAAGAAAAAAAAAAAAAAAAAAAAAAAAAAAAAAAAAAACTTAAAGAGTGGCTGGCCATTTTTTTTAATCTAAAAAAGCATTGCTGGTTCATACTAACTCCACTTGGTGTGAGTCATAGCTTTCTAGAAAGCTTAAAAAGAGAGGAACAACTATTCAAAATCTTAAATCCAAATTCTCATAATATTTTTATATATTATACTACTTTTTAGTATGACAATGTTTTCATTTGTATATGCTTCTATAGGTGATTGAAAGGTTTAGCATTTGACCAAAAAGTTAGCCATGTATTGCATGTATTGATAGCTTGTAATATAAGCTAACCATAAAGGTGTACATATAGGAAATTTGCCTTGCAAGTTAAGACATATGTCTTGCAAATGGAATACATGTTTGAGGTCTTATAGAATGTTATTATATGGCTCTTAGTTAAACAATATATATATAGAACCAAGTGTAAAGCCTTCTTCACTCTTATCAATGCATTTCTAGTCTTTGGTCTTATTTTAAGACTTTTTAGTCTTCTTGAATTTGGCAATAGCTATTCCAATTTCAATATCACATTAGTTTTGAATAAATATCCGCTCTTTTTGAATAATATAAGTATCTGTTGAATTTTTATTTGTTTGAAATTCATGTTTTTAGCATAATTTGGTCTATTAAATAGCTTCTTCTCACTTTAAATTATCTTTAAAAGAGTTTTTTTTTTTTTTTTTTTTTTTTTTTTTAAACAAAGCGATGATCTTTTGTAAGGCTTTTATACCACAACCTTTTAAAGTAGGCTTCTAAATATAAAAAAACTCTTAAATTCATATACAATGACTTAAAAAATTATCTCAATATTTGTACCTACTACATATCTTATATTATTGCAATCCCTCCTCATAATGGCATGCCAATCAAATAAAAAATTAAATATTATTACTTAAATATTAAATACAAAATTATAGCAATTAGTTTCTTTACTAAAAATTAATGACATCATAATGCACATAAAGGAAATTAAAATAATTTTTTAATTAACAAGTCTATATTTTGTTTGCTCTCTTTTTGCCATCAAAATTTTCTTTCCATAATACAATATACTATCTAAAAGATTGAATATGACTTCTTAACAAATTTCCTTTTATTTCTCCTCTACCTTCTCCCACAACTCTTACATTTTTAGATGATTGTGCTTGCTAAGCATTCAAACAACTTTTGAGATACTCTCACAAATATTCTTTTGGATTGCGATCTAGAAATTGTGTGTGTCATTGCAACCCTAGTAAATCAAGTTCCTTAAAGTATTCATTTGCCTTTTGGAAAATATGCTTTAAATCTTTTTTTTTTGCTAAAAACTCACATCATTGATAATTAAGTTATTATAATCTAAAAGATCTATGAGTCCCTTAAACAAAAGTATGCAATTTAAATTTGCATCCATATTTTCTCCAATCTTGGAAAGATAATCTTTGCGATGGGCAATCATGTAGACTATAACTGTTGGATAATCTTCAAAATTAAATAAAAAATAAAAAATGGAGAATATACAAATTATAGGAACAAAATCAAAATAAATACTAATAAAAGAATTATTTTACTACATATTCTCTATGGTAAATCTCAATGGAATATAGAATTCACCATGTTTGGCAAAGTTATGGTCATTACAAAAATAACCTTTTCTTCATAGTAATTCATTCACAAAAATTGAGATTGCACATCATTTTTTGGAAGGTTCTATAACTATTTCAAGTTTGAAATTGATAACTCTTCAAATCTTTTGTAGACATGATGTTTCAAAAGTAGATGTGGAGCATTATTCAAAAAAGTGGTGTAACTCATTATTTACCGGTGATTTTTTTTGCTAGGTTACTGTCAACAGATAAAAAAGCAAAAAACAATGTTCCCCTATTTGTAATTATTTTGATTTTGTTCCCCTATTAGTAAATTCTCCTAAACTTTAATAGAGAATTGAAATACCATTGATAGAGTGCCAACATAAGAACCACCAACAAATACAACTTCCTAGAAAAATAGAAGGAAGACTGAATATAAATTTTAAAAATATCAAATATAGATACCACTGCTAGATTAATGGTGGATGAAAAGTCATGAATTCTGCCCAAATCTACCTCAACATTTGTTCTCACATAGTACTAAAATTAATTAAAAACAACTCAAGTGTAGATATGTTAAAAACTCATTTAGACAAAAATTTGTACAACTTCCTGCTTTTGATTTGCAAATTCCAAAATCGTGTAATTTCATTTGTTGGAGTCTCCTCGTCCAAGGCACACAATCTAATAAGCATCAGATCAAATAATAAAGGAATTCCTGCGGCTTATGCAAGGTAGACTGAGAATTACCTCACTAGCCTCGCATGTCAGATCAATGACATTGACTGCAGCAGAACCATGCCTCGCGATGGCTTCTCCTGGTAACCATCGTTTTAAGGTTGTCAACCGCAGGACATTTTCATTGCCCTGAGGTGTTCTCAAACAAACTCGTACAGTTGGGTACTGATGAGCTCGATCACCACTTGATGTAACTGGCGGCTGCAACAGAGAGCATAGACAAGTTCATGGATAGTGTCATGAGATGCACAATCGATCTTTCTACCGCCATATTGAAGCACCATAGTGTTATCAGCCGGAATCTCTCTTGTAAGAGAGCTGAACAAGGATAAACAAGCCTCTGTAATTATGTTCAATATTACAAACTGTTGTGGTGGTGCAGTTAAATGGCTAAGCCAACAAACGACACGTGAGCTTGAATGGACAATCAAAGCTGCGATTAAGACACTTGAAAGCTCTGCATTAGAACAGCGATGGGGTCTGTACCTCTAATGCACATGAGCCTAGAGGTATCAAACTGTAATTATATCTCACGTCATCACTGTGGACCTGGTGGTTTCTGTTGTCTGCCATCAGGAATTGAAATGAGCACAATTGGTTTAGACGACCGCAAAAACGGCACGTCACAAATGTAATAACCCTTCCTCTCCAGCTGAATGATTTCCCCACGCTGTAAGTTTCGCATGTTAGAGTCTCCCAATGCTGAAGTCTCGATTCGAGTTACAGGGTTCAGGACGGACACAAAGTCGTCATTCTCCTCGAGCTTTTTCTTGACGATGAGGTGATCCAAGTCAACGAGAGTCACGGGAACCAACTCTGAAAACTCAGGAAGCCACGTCAATTTCAGCTTAGTGGTCTTCACCGATCCCTCGACATGCAATTCTCCCTGAAGACGAGTAACAAGCCCGTATTGGTCGCGTTCAACTTTCCTAATGAAACAATTACCCCAGTCCATAAGAGTGACTTCCTCTCCCTCGGACACGGCAGTAGCATCTGCGTGATCAAGCCAAATTCTCTTTGTGAAAACGGAGGCTTTCTTCCCAGCTGGTTCATATTTCTTGTGTCGCAGGATCACCCGAGTAAAAGGAGTCTCCGGACCATTGCTTAGATCAAGCAGAACCTTCCCCTCCGAAAGAACAGCTGTATGCCTGGGACAAATAGGGTCAATAATCTTCTTGTTTATTGTCCAGAGCTTGTCCCACTCCATCAGATTCAAATTCTTTGATGCACCCTGCCATGCAAACAATCGAGAAAGCTTGCTTGAGAATCGTTACTGATAGTAGAAAATTCGCAGATCAATAAACGACTGTGGTTGTCACAAACTAAAAGGAGATTCACCAAAATTTGTACCTGAGATAAGATAAACTGCTTGAGAGCCTCAATTGTGAGACCCCTACGAATAATGCCTTGAACTGTCGGAAAACGAGGATCGTTCCAACCCTCCACTCGTCCGTTGTCCACAAACCATTGCAGCTTACGCTTGCTAAGCAGAGTATAAACGAAATTGAGGCGGCTGAAGTCCCATACATGAACCTTCCTGAGTTGCATATCTTCCAGGACTCTGTAATACTGGTCATTTCGATCATGATATTCACTCGATCGAAGTGCATGAGTAACGCCTTCTATGCTATCCACGTAGGGACATGCGAAATCGTATGTGGGATAGACCTTGTACTTAGAACCCACACGGAGGTGAGGAGCTGGATTGCAACGATAATAAACTGGGTCTCGAAGCGATGCATTAGGGTTACTCATGTCCATCTTCGCACGGACACAACACTGAACACCTCTTGGTGAGCCAGCAATCATTTCCTTCCACAATATCAGATTCTCCTCAACACTCTGGTTTCGGCACTTAGACTCGATCATAGCCTTCCTCTCTGTTTGCATTTGCTCTCGCTCCGTGTCATCCACATATGCCTTACCCTCTTTGATCAACTTCTCACACATCTCCATAAGCTGTGGAAAATAATCAGATGTGTACGTAATCACATCCCCCTTCACACCTAATGTTTCCAAATCATGCAGAATGCTCTCCACAAACTCATCTTTCTCTTTCGCCGGGTTTGTATCGTCGAACCGAATAATAAGACGCCCTTTGTACTTTTGCGCGAAAAACTGGTTCAAAAGAGCAGCCTTAGCATGACCAATGTGAAGGTAACCACTTGGCTCGGGTGGAAACCGTGTGCATACTTTGCCCATCTCTGCACCGGGCAAATCCACTTCGAAGGAGCCATCGACCTTCTCCTTTGCCTCATCTGGAGCCGCCGCAGTAGAGCTAGGTTTTGAAACCTCTGCAGCAGGCTTTCCAGAGCCACGCCGAGGCAAGACATCTGCAATCGCAGCATATTGCGCAAGGATGCAATTGTACCATCGTACGAGGTTCGGAAACTTTGAGGATTTCCGAAAGCTTTCCCATCTCGGCCCTGCCCCTGCTAGGTATGCAACTACGGTAATATCGGCTATGGTGAGTTCATTACCAACGAGGAATGTGCGCAAGGTAAGGTAACTGTTGGCATAAGCACAAGCTCCCTCAAACTCAGACCCCACGCCAAAACTAGATGCAAACTTGAGCCAGTCGTCCACCTGCCCAACATTAGAAAAGGATTTAGGGTTCTGTCGTCGAAAATCCGACATAAAAATCTTAGCAGTAACATTCGACCATACAACCATCAAATACACTCACACGCGGCTTCCAGTTCTCCAAATTCAAGCACAGGTTTTCAGTGCTCAACAATGTCGTGCTCCAAGTGAGCCGTTGCAAGAGGAGCCATGCGAGGCTAGTGTGTAACAAAAATACCTCCGCTTTAACATCCACAACTCTGTCTCACCCCTACAAACCCTTCACCTTCCTCTAAACTGAACCACAAGGCTCCCTACATTGAACTGATGCAGAAAATCCCGACTGGCCCCGTGAACACATACACCTGGCATTCGATTTCACCGCTGGATCTCGAAACCTCTACCCTGAAGCTAAATTACAACCTTCAACTGATGAAGCCTGACTTGACACCAAATTACAAAGTGCAGCACTCGCTACATCCCAATACACAGCGTTGCTTACCTCAGAGGAGTTGGAAACGAGCGACTGACCTTCGATGCTCTTCAAAGTGCCAATGATCAAGCTCAGCAACTGCTGCACATCCGCCATCGCCCCCGATCTCGTCGAAATCAATTCACAACCTCCTAAAGAATAATCGCTGGAAAATGAAATTCGCTATCTCTGTAGCTCCTGCCGAAGCGAGCGACCAGTCCCTGAACCCTAGAGCTTAAGATGAATGAGCGATGAATGTATGTTAGTTCACAACGTCCGTTTCATCCACATGAGCTGTGCATGTGTGTTCTCAATGGATATAATTATCTTCATGTAAATTATTTAGCACAGGCGTAAAATCTTCACACATTACCAAATAATAGCAACGCTGTAAATTTTTAATATATTGGGAAATTTTACTAGTGTTAAGGTTGTAAGATTCTTTGTTGAAAGAATACCAGTTGCAAAGAACATTCGAATAAGTTATTTTTTTATTTTTAATTAATTCTGCATCATAATTAATTATAATAATTAGTTTTAATTATTATAATTAGTTTTAATTATTATAATTAGTTTTAATTATTATAATTAGTTTTAATTATTATAATTAGTTTTAATTATTATAATTAGTTTTAATTATTATAATTAGTTTTAATTATTAAATAATAATTAGTTTTAATTATTATTATTATTTTTTAGATATTTTTCATTTTTTAAAGATTGATGTTTAATTTTATTAAAAATATAAAAAATCTCTAAAATTTTCATTATTTTGTACCTAGATTAAAATCTATTTTCATGTCAATATTTGGATGTCAATACAAAAATCAGAAGCAGTGAAGAAAAAAAAAAGTACCATTATGTATGATTAATCTGAGTAGATAAAATACATAACATTGGCATCAGATAAACTTAAATATAGATAAATTTTAATTTACGATTTAATTAAAAGTTAAGTAGATTAACTGGTAGTTCTAAGATTCATCTAATAATACAATATATTGTTAAGTTTTTTTTTAATTATAAAACTAAAAACATGCTCACTTCAAAATCATGTAATTTGTACAGAATTGGTTATAAACATTATATATTATACATAGGATTTTTATGTAGCAATGGATATTAATCCAAACCGAGACATAAAATATCCATTCATTTAATTAAGACATTAAAGAATAAAAATGAATTACATTGATGTAAATTATATATGTGAACAAAAAAAATCATTTAAAGATTTTTTTTATTTTAAATTATTTGTATGATGTCTTACACAAAAATGGAAATTATTATTAATATTATTAATATCATTTTATAATAATTCAAATTTAAATACTCCCATTGTGATATAATATAGTATTTATCTTTTAAAGTATCAAATAAGATATACAATTTTTTATAAATGAAACATGATATTAATGTTTTTAAATTCAAAAATTCAAAAATATCTTAATGTTTATAACAATTTACTAATATAAAATCCTTCAGTTGACATTTAAATAATATCGCATTAAAATAGTCCAATTATACCAAATGTAGTTAATTATACTAATTATCATGTTGGTTATTGAAATCTGACTTTTTTAAAACCATATACATTATTTTTTGAATAACTTGATATTTTATATATTATATTTAATAATAATAAATCATTCAATTCACTTAAAGTAGTTCTGAATCATTACTTATTAATTGTTGAGAGTATAAACTTAAATGTATACAAGAAAAACTGATGAAAATTCTTGCAAAATCAAAACAAGATTACATATTTAAATTATATATATATAATTACTTTAAAAAAATATATAAAGCATAATACATTTTTTGTTATCATGTTATGGTTGTTATTTAATATAAATACATATTTAAAATAGTTAATATATAAAAATATTACATATAAATTAAACATGTGTTATTAAATTCTTTTTATATTTAAGTATATATATATATATATATATATATATATAATTTAAATTTATATTAATATTTATATAAAAATCATAATTTTATTTTTTCATTTATTTTTCATGTAATTATCTTTATTTAAATTTTGAATAATATATTTTTAATTTATTTTTAAATACGCCTATAAATTTATTAAATTTATAATATGTGCTTTTACAACTCTCTAAAGGTGATACGTGACAGAAGTATATTTTCTCTATTATATCCAAATCTAAAAATAGAAACAAAGATCCTCATTATTTATGCTCCTTAAAACATCTTTGATTTATTTCAAAGACTTGTGTAAATAAGAAGTATTTGGTTTGTTAAAGGTATTTTGTTTTTATCTTCATTAACTTTCTTTTCTTTTTCTAAACTTGGTTTAGAAGTTAATTTTAATTCAAAAATAATTCTCAAAAATTACTTTTATTATATTTATTTAATTAAAATTGGACTATTTCTTATGATTTCTTATTAACGGCTGTTATAGAAGTTATAAAAGATTTTGACAAGATATTTGGATTATTAAATTAGTTTATAAGAGTCATAGTTGATTTATGCATAAATATTATTATATCATAGTTGTAGTAAGTACATTTAAGATAATTTACTTGAATATTATAAATAATCTTTTTACAAGAATAAACATTGATTTATTTAAGAAATAAAAAAATATTCCTTTTAAGCTTTTGAAAAGGTTGCACAAAGTGCCTTCAATTTAACAATCTATTATAATGAAGAATGCCTTCTAAATTTTTTTTGTAAGATTCTTGCAATAATCTTTCCAAAAATTTCTAATTCTTTTGTTGTTCAAATATCACAACTTTGGCATTGCAAATTAAGGTATATTAACTTCAATAAAATTCATGCTAAAAATCTAATTACATGGATTTTCAATTTTCAAGTCATATCTTAAGTATGTAGTACATGTAAAGTGAACAAACATACTTGTGAAGCTATCTTAAAAGTCTTATTTTTTACATTTCGAAGTCCATTAGAAATAATTTTCATAAATTTTTATCTACCTCTATTTATTCAAACTTTAACAAAATTAGAATACTTTAAACTTTTTAGAAAAGATTTCAATAAAAATTCATAGATCTATTTTCTATAGATATAAGATAAAACTTTCAAAAAATTCAAGAAATTTAGAGTCATGATAAAAAAATAACATTTTAAATTTCAAATTTTTCTACTTAAATTTAATAGATGCATTGAATTCTTATGAAAAAAATTTATTTCAATAATTACCTAGATAATATAAATAGGTAGAAATAAATTAAAGTAAATAAATTTGATAATATCTTATAAACTAGCTTCTTAGAAGCTTGATAGATGTGGCTTTGATTTTATATGTATTTATAGTTGATTGATAGGTTAAAAACTTGGCCAAAAAATTAGTCACGTGACATAAATATTGGTAGCTTGTGGTATAAGCTAATTATGTGGTGTATATATGGAAAACTTGCCTTATAAGTTAAGACGTTGTCATATTGTAAATGCTTACAATATATAAAAATTAGTTAGAATATATTATATGTTAATAAATCTAGATGTATGTTAGAGTGGCTAATAGATTAAATTAAAGGGAGTTGTTATAAGAAACTTTACTTTGTTTCTTTACTTGTTTTGATTTTGACATTAAAAAAAAATATATAGGACTTAAATGTTTAGTATGAAGCCTTGGGAGAAGGTAGAAGCCTAAGGATGAAAATCTAAACTAGTAGGAGGCTAATTAGGAGGGATGAAAGCAAGGCATGGTCGGATGAAAGCAAGGCATGGTCGGATGAAAGCAAGGCATGGTTGGATGAAAGCAAGGAATGAGAAACTTCATCCCTATTGGTCGAATACCATGCCCAATGGGCTTCAAGGAGGCTGTCCGAGGCCTTATTAGGGATTAGGGTTCCTCTTTCGAGGAACTTGGGAGATAACAAGCTAGAGTTGTAAAGTTTAGGGTTTGGGGTACAATTTGTGTACAAAAATTAGAGGATTTGGAATTAGGGTGAAAAAGTTATAGCCGTTTGAAGTTAAGTTATTAATTTAAGACATACTGTTACTCTTTTGAGGATACGAGGAGTTTTACAGCAGCTTTTGAAGATCGGAAGGTGCGATTGGAACGGCGATTTCAAGGCCTACATCTTGCATGAAATAATTATTGCTTTTGGAGTTCATATGAAGGAGTTGTAAGGAGTTGAAGGAGGCGCTTCCAAATCAAAAGTAGTAAGTAAGCAATTTTGTTTGTAGTAATGGTTGGAGCCATAACTTGAGTTTTCGGACGAATTTTTGGCTCAAACTTCTTGGAGAATGTAAAATTTTGTGTTAAGAAGCTATACATACAAATTTCGTGGCATTTGAGCTTATATTTTGTGAGATATAAAGAAAATTGCACGTGGTTGTATAAAGACAAGGGCTTGAAGCGACTGTTAGGGTTTTCAAGATATCTCAAGATCTGCAACAAATTTGCGGTTGAAAATTGTTGTAGAAGTTAATAAGAATACATCAGTACCTCATGTAAAATTTGAGTTTGTTTTGACGGTCGGATTGGGAGATATGAGGTGTTGAAGTTCGGAAAAATCTCCACATAAGAATAAACAAGGTTTTAGAAGATTTTATCATATTTTGGAAGTTGTGGGTTACTTGAGGATTGTGTATTTGGTGTAATTACTCAAAAAAGGGAAAAATTATATATAAACTTAGGGCTTCTCTTATTTTCAAGCTTGATTGAATAATTAGTGACAGCCAGAAGTCCAGCGTTTTCTTGAGGCAAACTCTCTCTACCCTGACAATGTCTATCTTGCAAATGAAGCATATATCAGAGGTCGTATAAAACATTGCAATATAGCTCTTAGTGAGATATTATATATGGAGGCAAGAGTGAAGCCTTCTTCACTCTTGTCAATACCTTTCTAATTATTAGTCATGTTTCAAGACTTTTTAGTCTTTTTGTCTTTGGCAATAATTATTCTAGTTTTAATATTATGTTCTATTTGAGTAAATATCTATTCATTCCAATTGACACAAGAATATCTTGAATTTTTATTTATTTGAGATTCAAGTCCTTCATATGTTTTTATAAGCAATTCTATATCTATTAGCTTCAATAATAGTATAATACCAAATAAAAAAATTTAGGTAAAAAGTCAAATTTTAATGTATTTTAAATATTTAATTATATTATTTTTATGAGTATTCATAATATATAGGAATAAAATTAGTCTCAAGTTAATATTGACAATCAATCTTAGACTAG